AATGACAGCTTCATTCCAAAGATCATGAAATGATTAACATAAGAAAAAAAGGCAAAACCCATAATTGATTAGTTGTATTCTATCATAAATGTATAGCACATCATCTACTAATGTTCTTCCTCTCACTGAAGTTTGTGAGTCACTTAGGACTAGCCCAAAACCTTTTGCAAAACAATAACGCCCTATCTTCTTCTAGATGTGAAAGCTAATGGGACTGGCTCAGCTATGATGTATTTAGAACTGCAGTAAAGATAGTTGGCTCTTTGAAATAATGTGGTTCTGGGAAGTTTGTGGCAGCATTTTCCCATTTTCAGAAATTCTTGGCTCACTTTACCATCCTGGCTCTTAGGATTCAGACACTCTAGCATGTTTTTCAAGGAGAAAAGTAGTTTTATGCCTTTTCTGTTTTCACTGGAACCCCATGGCTTTTTTTTTTATATACTATCATAAAAATGTACACAACATGAAGTAAGGATAAGGATGGAAAAGAGGTGAAAGCAATTCATTTTATTTCTTTTTAAAGGGGGGTGGGTGCTAAGGGAATGTTTTTTTTCCTCCAGGATCCATAGTAGCTCAGAACAGAACAGTTTTATTTTTGTTCTCAGGATTGTGAGGCTAATTGAAGAGCAGGTGATCATAGATGATCTTTAAGCTGCTTTTGAAGGACTGCAGTGTGCAAATGGTAGAAGTGCAAAAATGGCCTAAGTTGGGACGCATGAAACTTCTCTAACTCTTTGCCATCACCTCACAGCTACTGTCTCATATTGCCTAATTATAGTACTGGCTTTGCCTCTGTAACACCAACCATCAACTGGAAGCATTCCTCATCAGTGAAAGAGACAAATCAAGGAGTTATACAGCCACAGAATAAATATTTTCCTGAGTGGTATCCTGGATTGATTATGTGCCATCGAATTGGTGATGACTCTTAGTGACTGCACTGATAGACCTTCTCATGATGATCTGTCCTTGGCCCTTCAGGTTTCCCAAAGGTGTTTCCATCCCCTTGTCATCCTCTTCTTTTTCTTCCTTCCACCTTTCCTAGCGTTATTGACTTCTCAAGAGAGCTAGGTCTTCACATAATATGTCCCCAAAAATGCCATCCTTACAGTAGTCTTTTGCCAAAAGAAAAAGCCAGCTCTGTGTTACTATGATGACTCTCTATATACAAAAGAATTTTAGAGTTTATGTTGTTACAGATAATCACCTAAGGAAACCCAGAAACTATTTTGATATATATCAAGCCCAATCCATTAAGAAAGAATAATGTGTTAAATTATAATTTATGATATCACATGGGTTGATTTATATATATTTTGAATCACAGTTAGTCATATGGAGGGAAACAAAAGACTGTTGATTAATAAGTTATAAGTTAGTTCATTGCTCCAGGCTTTACTGGCATTGCAAGGGCATTTTAAAAGAAGCAATCAGATCCCTTCTGTCTAGCCCAAGTATATTTAACCTGTCAGCAATATAATTGATTAAGAGCTCCATATCAGCAATCACACAAACTGCCCATCACGCTTAATTTAGTCAACAGCCTCCTGTACTTACAGAGGAACTTGAACATGATGGCTCTCTGTTGATGTACAGTTATGCCTTGTATCTGTAAGGAAACTGTCCTGACATGCTGATGCCATAATTCATTTACTGGAGGAAAAAGGTGTGCTTGTCTGTATATAATTGTATTAAGGATTTTGAAAGAAGAAAGAATAGTAAGAAAGAATAAAAAGTACAAGAAAAAAAAGAAAAAGAAATGAGGAAAGAAAGAATATGATAAAGAAAAAGAAAAGAAATATATAAAGAAGTGATTTCCAACCTTCATTACAACAAGTATAGACAAATTTAGTTTATTTAACTCTTCACCCCCTTTAAGCAGATATCTCTTCATCATATATCCCATCCCTTATCTATAAGCAAATCCATGAAACATCAACTTTTCAATCCTGGTGCCAGCAAAAAGTCCATAAAGGGTTGCCAGAACTTTGTAAATAAATGTCTTATTTTAACCTTGATCAAATAAACTGATTTTACAGTCTTTCTTTTTAATTCTAAAGATTAAGATTACTTCTTAATCTTTAGTTCATTCAAATACTGTCCTAGGGTTTGATTTCTCTTCAATTCTTCTTTATCCCACTGCATAGACTTCTTCAAAGATTTAAGAAGCCTTTTTTGCAGATCCAATAAAAAAAAATTTCCAGATCATTTTCTTGGTTTGTCATTTGTATTCCCCCTTTAATTTTTAAAACTTCAGCCAGTTTCTTTTCTATATCTAATAAAGCATCCTTTTCAAAATCATTCTCTTGGCCTGTCATTTGTATTTCCATTTTATCTTGTCAGACAAAATTTGCTCCACATCTGTCATTCCTTCATTAACATCTTTTGGACATAGTCCATCCATAGAATCAGACATCATTACTGACACTGTTGATATTGTAGCTACTAATTTCTGGCTCCATTCCTCAAAGATGTCCTGTAATATTTCCAATGTTATGACATTTTGTGTCATTTTGTAAGTCCCAGTTAACCAACACCAAAAGCAGGCTTGTATTTTTTCCCTTTTCCTTAGAATCTTTAGTCCCCTCTAATGTCCAGTTTCTAAAATAATAAGGTCACTTATCTTTGTTATGAACCAAGATAGCCAAAATAATTCTAGTTCCCACAAGAAGCCATTTATTTTTTTATAGTTAATTCTAAAATCTTATAGTAAAACCAATATTCCAAGTTTAACTGAACCCTTAACCCAGTAACTCTTAGAACAAAATCTTCTTAGCTTTTTGCTGTTTATTTCAAAGTCTTTAAGTTCTTAAGCTTGTAATTAATTTTCGTTTTGTTCAGAGTTGAAGCTAAACTCACCAGGTGACTTTTCAAACTTGCTGTTCCAAAGGTCTCTAATAGCTTTAAGATGGTTAATAGGCAATTTCTGAAGTGATTAGAAAGTGAGGCTTGGAAACATAGTGTTCTTTAAAAGGCTCTGCCACAGTTGCGAGCAAGATGGCTAATCCCTTCATCTTCTGTACCTGTGGGAGACTGCTGTCTTGCAGTCTCCTCATGAGGAGCAGCCTTCTGGAGCACATGTGGGTGATCTCCCATCATCTCCTTGTCCAGAGAGGTTTGAAGAACCAGTCTACTCATTGGTTCTTTGGCGTTTGCTGCAGTCATGGGCTCTGCTTTTGCAGAGACATGTTCAGTTCGCCATGTCTACTTCAGAAGCCTGAAAAAGGTATGCTTGCAAGGCTGCTAAAAATAGAAGGATATCACAAAGAATTATAATGGAGCAAGAACTTATTATTTATTTATCTTCTATTATTGAAAAGAGATGTACTTCTTCCACTGATTATAATAAAGAAGTTGTCTCAAGATAAGTTCCAGTACTGTATGTGAAAATGTTTGTTTAATTGCCAAAGTCACCATTTAATAAACTCATAAGAAATATTCACTCCTACACATAATCAATATCCCTGTAAATAATCAATTTATAGTATATACAGTATTTTTACCATTTAATGTTATACTTCTGGACAATATGATAGAGTTGGGTAAGATGTTCAAAGAACAAAGACAAAGGTTCTTCCACTTTGTTAAAGATCTAGGCTGCAATTCTAGGCTCACTTTCATGGAAATAATGCAGTGGGGCTTCATCTGAGTAGACATTTATAGGATTGCATAATTAGCATATTTCCCACCTTTGGGTATGGTGTTACTTATTTATTTATTTATTTATAGCTATTGAAAAGTCCCTCTGATCATCTTAGAGAAAATCTATTTATGTGGTCACTGGAGTCGACACTGCCTTGATGACATGCAAGCATCAATCAAAACTCCCTCTGAATTGTTATTCATTTCACCCCACCCTCTGAGGGCTGCATTATTTTATTTTAAAAAGACATTCCTAAATTATTAACCTAACCCATCTTTCTTTCCAATAAGGTGCTCGTGTGTTTTACTTTATGGAGAATGGGTGTCTGGAAAGTGCTAGCCAGTCCAAACCATTTTTAAAGATGTGCCATATGAAGGGAGAATAGGAGCCAATTAGGTTTTCCCTTGAGAGGCGGCATCTGAGCAACAGGAAGAGCAAACAGTCTTCTCCAAGGTGGTAAGATACATTTTTTTAAAAATTCACAATTATAACTATTATTTATATATTTGAATGATCACGTGTACACACACGCACACACACATTTCTATGTTGACATGTATTTATTTTGCCTAGTTGTCTTCTTCTCTTGTGATAAGTAAGTACAGTAATTGGGACTGGGAACTCCGTTGCTAAGTGACTTGGTCATAAAGTACAATGTCACATGACCATACCAACTTACAATGGTGGTTCCAACAGTGCCAATTGCCATTGTTAAGCAAATCCCACATGATCACATTGTCCCACAGTCACATGATTGTCATTTGCGACCTCCTGCTGGCTTCCTTGTTTGTTTGTTGGAAGCCGGCAGTAAAGATTGCAAATGGCAATCGTGGCCATGGGGACACTATGACAGCCCCAACTATGAGGATCTGTTGTAAGTACCCCTCATTCAGTGCCATCATAACTTCGAACAGTCACTGAATGAATGTACATTAAACAAGGGCTACCTGTACCTTTGTCTCCTCAGATTAAATTCTAGTATCTAATCAACTTTTTGGAACATTGAGCATCCTTTACATGTGTGCATGTGCATGCGTGCACATTAATTGGATGTGTCAAAATATACTCATATATTTCAGTTATGCAAAGAAATTGAAGATCTATTTTTTGAAAAACTTGGCATCTTCCAGAAACTTAATAAGTCCTAATCTCATGTGATTTCTTTGAATCCATTTCTAGTTTTGAATCTCTTTATCAATTCAATCTTTTTATATGTATTTTATTTAATCATCCTCAGCTTCAGTCTTATTCTAATTATTCTTTGTCTTATATTTATGCATGTGCACGGACCCACACACAATTATGCGTCATGAATTATGATATACAAGCCAAATGGGAAATGTGTGATCCTCCAGATGTTCTTGGTTTGCTACTTCTGTTAACTTTTTCCATACAGGCTGGAGCTGCTGGGATTTGTAGTTCAATAATGCCTGAAACTCTACAGGTAATAAATTAATGCTATAATTTTCATAGCATTAAAGATAGTGCTCCCAATTAAAATTAGTGAAAGAATTTTCTATATTTCTAAATTATTTCAATAATTTTATTTTTTCTATATTCCATTAATTGGCAAGAAAAAACTTTAATTTATCCTATAGTATTCAAAATGGAATGCTCCTAATTGTGATTCTATAATCTTTTGTATCATTGGATTAATGCTTACTAATTCATTTTCTCACAAATGATGCCTGATAAAGAGATGTATTTAGTGATGTGGGAGCTGATTTTTTTAGCCTATGCCATAAAACATTCACTGCTGGAAATATTGTGAAATTACACAACCCAAAAGAATGAAAAATGTAGTGATGTTCTTCACAACTACTTTGCCATGCTCAAAACTTGTTCAGTATTTATCCTTAATACATCAATTCAATTTCTTATTGTCCTGACATTGACATTATTCAATAAACAGCTCTGTAATTATGGGTATTGATATTCCCTTCCATGGAAAGTCCATTTTTCCACAGGAATTTGTCCCATTCGCACTATCATTCAAATAAAAATAATGTTGTTAGCCACCTTGAATATTTGCCAGAGTAGAAGAGCAGGGAAAAAGTTAATTGGTTAAACAAATAAATAAAATATCTAGACATTATTCCTCCAGTCTGCAGGAGTAAACTTTCTAGAGGAATATTGCTATTTTTACCCTTTTTTTTTTCCTGCTATGTATGTTGTCTGTTTACAGTTTATAAACTGTGGCACTCATTTGACTGAACTTCCCTAATTTCCCTTCATAGTATCCAGATAGCAGCTTTTGGCTGTAGTGCAAGTGGTATATTGTGTTACAGCATTAATGTAACACAATACATCCAGAACAAGGGAGATAGACAATAAATAGTTTGGGGCAATAAAACCAGCAAGTTGTTTTCCTTGTTTTTCTGTGGTGTGGAGCTGAAGCATTTGCTTTGTTTTGTTTTGTTTTTGTAATTTCCAACACTCACATGTGCTCAGATGCACATAAGGATAAAGAATCAGTGACAGCCAGTAATGTCAATTAGTTGTACCTACACAACTTTATCAAAAAGTGCCTGACCACTTAACCCACTACAGCACAACTAACACAAGCTATGAAAAGGGTAACACTACCATACATCAAAAGCATCTCAGAAACAGCTAACAGACTATTATAACCACACAGCATCACCGTAGCATACAAACCAACTAAAGCCCTCCAAAACATCTTAAGTAAACCAAAAGACCCAGTAGCCCAAGAACAAAAAACATCTACAACATACAGTATAAGGACTGTAACAGCCACTATGTAGGACAGTCAGGCAGAAGATTAGCAGAGCGCATCCATGAACACCAACTAGGTCAGAAGACACAATGAAAACTCAATCTCACAACACATGGACAGACTCAACCATAGTTTCAACTGGGAAACTATTAGTATCCTAGACCAAGCTAAATCCAAAAATGCTAGGGAGTTCCTGGAAGCTTGGGATTCAGGCAAATCAGCCATTAATAGACACACAGAAATAAACCATATTTACATACCATTCAAAAGAGACAATTAAAAAAGCTAAGAAGGAAACAAAAAGACCAGAAGACATCCTATCCAGCAGCCAACACGCAGATAAGCAGGGATTAACACGAAGCAAACCATCAAGCAGAAAACAATACGCTAATCAAGGAACTACCAAGGAGAAAACCACATCCCCACCAAAAGGGCAGGGCAAGCTACTGCATATAAACAGGAAGCAAACCCCACACTCACACTGAAGATGTTAGCTAGCTGGATAATGACACATCTGCAAGCAAACAACCAAGCTCAGAGACCATGAAGGACTCCACAGTTCAACCCTTAGCTATATATATTCTCTTGAATATTGGATAGTACCAATTATAACATGCGTTTGTTTTCTGCATGGGTCTCTGAATATTTAATACAAAGTACTGCGTATTTTGTATCAATAGTACTGAACCTTTTAATGATACACAGAGATGGCAGGATCAGAATATGTTTGCCTGCTGAGCTTCTGTGAAGATGCAGAAGCCAGGTCATTTGACAGCAGACATGAAAGATAAGAGGGGACTCATATACAAAAGCTGAACTGACTGCTAGTGACATTTTGGCTTCAGGACAGATTAGCAGTTTAGAGGAGTGTACACCAGAGAGGCAGCTGACACAGTCTAATCATGAGTTCTTTTTTCTTTACCTTTAGCATCTTGGATATTTATATGTTAATGGTAGGATGACACTAGTCAAATGTCTTTGTAGTATGAGCAATGGAGAAGCACATGCTCTGTTGATTCTATATGTCCTGAGTCACAAAAATGTTGCCGCTCCAAGTAAGGAGTCTTCCTGCATCAGCCCTCAAGGACAACTGAAGGAGGAGCATGATATCATGTTTAGAGATTTCCAGCTTAGTTAGATATGCCATGGGGAGGCAGAGTATCTGATGGATTCAATGGCAAGAAAGTTTGTGGCCCTAGCTAGGTCAGACTAGCACTCTATGTCTGTTACTCACTGATAAGTGCTTTGGCCTGGTCATAACCCATGCTGAGTGGAAGACCTGGAGAGAGGCCCAAGGATGAGATTTTAACTGTTACTGTCTGTTTCCACATGGATTCATGGTACTCACATTCTATGTTCTGATTCTATATGTCTTATAAAATGAAGAATTCTTTCAGTACCAGTGCCAACGGTGACTTTTTTTTCCAGCTTTGTTCTGGCCTGGACATAACTTCCAAACCTACTTAAGAAAGTTTGATATCCTTCTCCAGGACCTAGAAAAGGTCTTCCTGATCATTTGGCAAAACCCTTTGTCTAAATGTTTCAGCCGTGTCCATACAGTTTTCCAGGCAACAATACAGAAATGGTTTGCACTGCCTTTTTCTGAATTTAGTTTTGGAGTTTCATCTCCAAATGAGCAGACTTTCCTCACATCTGCAGAACTCCCCTGTTTTTACTCCCACTATGAGATAAGAAAAGGGAAAAGCATATTAAGCTGCTGTTTGGACATTTCTAATGCTGATTATCCCAACAAGAACACTGGACAGGAAAATTTATTTTGTTTGCCAGCTCTAGTTTGTTATAGCAAGTTTGCTTAGGGCTTTGAATGCTACAAACATTATTTCAAAGAGGTGCTTCAGAATATGTGAGAACAAATGCACAGAACCTTTTTAGACAATCAATACAGATAGTTCTCAGGTTACGACGGCAATTGGGACCAGAGTTTCCATCACTAAGTGATGCGGGCGTAAAGCACAATGTCATATGACTGCATCACTTAGCAATGGCAATCTCAACAGTCCCAGTTGCTGTCGTAGCCCCAGGACCATGTGGTCATTAAGTAGGAAGAGGTGGGAGTGTCAGGCAAGCAGGTCAGCAGATGACAGCTGCGGGTGAGAGCTACTGGCAGGTGGGTGGGCGGGTGCTGCAGGGGGTGGTCAGGTGCCACAGGCAGGCACTAGGGAATGCGGGAGGGTGGTTGGGGCGGCAGGTGCTGTGGGCAGGGATTAGGAAGTGCAGGCGGGGGTGCAGGTGCTGCAGGGGGATGGACAGGTGCTGCGGGTAGCCATTAGGGACCACAGGTGGGTGGAAAAGTGGTGGGAACAACTTGCAATCTTCTACCAGCTTCCCTATTGACTTTGCTTGTGGGAAGCCAGCAGGGAACACTGGAAGTTGTGGCTCAATGCGACATCACAATTGTGAACACGTGACCACAGGGCCGCTGCAATGGCCAGAACTCCAAGAACCCATCATAAGTCCCCCTCGTTCAGCACTGGCATAACTTTGAAAAGTCGCTGAATGAGTGGTTGTTACTCGAAGACTATTTGTATCTTTTTTCAGAAGCTGGTTGCTTTCAGGAGGTCCTGCACTTGTGGTCTTAGATGTCTGAAATGTTCCAAACCATTTTCAAAGTATCTAGAGACATAATAGAGACAACACAGACCAGTCTTCACTTTCAATATATTATAATCCTTTGGAACAATGCTGTCTAGGTTTGAAACTAGGCAAGGGTAACAAGTGAAGGATTAATGGCTATTTTGCCTTGGTTTGGAAAAGAAAACATCTTCTGTTTAGTGTCTCCTTTCTCTCATGCATTCCATGTTTTGTATTAATTGCAGACAGCATGAATATCCTGTGTTTTTTTTCAAAATAACATTCCCAAAAAATAAAGTGGACAATTTAAAACACAACCGCCCTCTTAATAGGGAAAAGGGTATAAAAAACACCACTGTAGTAAGAGACTATATTATTTTAATTATAAGCTATAGCTGTCAGCCAAATGGTCTTTAAAAATTTAAAGAGCCTGCTATATTTACATAGCTATTTTATAGCTTCTGCAAAATAGTTTAGAATCTTCTGTGCATGCAAGTGAAAACTTAAATGGTGTTAAGTTTAAAAACAAAAACCAAAGTGGAGGAGGCATAGACTGACAGGCTTTCCAGTCTGGTACCCTCCAGATGTGTTGGACTACACTCAGCACTACAACTTGGACTACAACTCAACACTTACCTGTGAAGTATGATGGGAACTGTATTCCTTTCAAGGCACTAGGTGAGGGAAGACTGTCTCATACACTGCTGCACAGAGTGTTTCAGGCCCAGTTTTTAGTCAACTTGATAGGCCTGTCCTATTGACCTAACAATGCATTCTTGCCTACTCTAGGAATAGCAGAGAAAGGGTCTTTTGGTATGTACAGCCATTGTAATGACATGCTTAGAATGCTATTACAAAACAAACAGTTCTTGTCATAGCTGCTCTTGACAATATTTATCAAGTCAAAGTTGAGATAAGATATTGTTTCCCATAAATGAAGAATGTTCCTGCAAAGTAGTTCTAAATCTAATAGTATGGCAACATCATGAGTAGGATAAGGAGATAGATTTACACTCAGCATAAAAAACATCACTCTAAGAAGGGATAAATGACTTTAATGTAAGATGAAGGGAACTTATTTCCACCTGTTAATTTTGTTTTGTTCTGTTTTGATTAACATTTTGATATTTGCCCAATCCCTCTTCTTCAACAAGATGGGGAGATGGTAAATACTCTGCAGATAGCATATTGCTTCTTTTTTGTATAAATTGCCTCTTTTTTATCAATTGCCTCATGCAACAAAACTCAGTGCAGGGCCAATACTTTTGCAGCAACACTGCTTGAAAACAGAATTTCACATTTTTAAAAAGAAAAGCTTTGCAGATGTAGCAGAAACAAGGCAGAACACGCTGTCATCTGAGACTTTCTGGCCATTAATGCCTCCAGATATTGCAGTTCACAGAGATTTGAAAACCATTGGACTGAAATACATGTAGGCATACAAATCAAGAGTTTTTTTCTGGAAGATAGCTGGTTGACAGTATTTTATATCATACTCTCCAGAGTCTTTTACCACATCCCGTTTGATTGATTCTTTAGGAGGGAAACTTTTATATCTGAGATCTTACCAGATGATTATGCTGCCATAATAACAGAATCAGGGAACATCTGGTAGTCAGATATAAGAAGTGACTAGCCAGAGCATTTGGCAGCTAAAAATAAATTGGCATTGAAAGGTGTGAAAGGAAACTATTGGAGGCTTTGTTCTCACAGAAAGAATTTGATTCCCAACTCTAAACTGTGACATATGGCAAAGAATGATATTTACATTCCCAACATCAGATCTAAAAGCCTCAAAGAAGAATAAATAAACAAATTTCAGTACTTTAAAAACTAGCACATTTATTATGGCATATTTACTTATTCTGGCACTTGAAGACGCTCCCACAGGGTAACAACCATCACTTACCATCAATTACCTTGGAAGATGTTATTTATTAATTGAACATTGGTTTATTGTGTTTTAAACAGTATTTTAACCAGCATTTATTTTTGTTTTTATTGTAAACTGCCCAGAGTTGCTCATTGAGTGAGATGGGCGGTGATTAAATTTGAAATATTAATTAATTAATTAATCAATTAATAAGCTTTCTTAGGAAAGGAACACTTTACTAAAAATACACAAAAGTGAAATATTTATTGAGAAACACATATTATGTGATGCAACTTTCTTATCATATCTGGGGAAATATTCTAACTTATTTTTTCTCAATGTGTTAGCTCTCTCTTTTAGCATATCCACATTTCACCCTTAAGCTGCTTCTGTCTGGTACTGTTCTGTGCCTCTAAGCCATTGTAAGAAAATCCTGCCCCAACTGAGATGCGTTGGCAACAGCTTGCAAGGGATTCAGTCCAGGCCACAGATGGCCACATCCTCCCAGTGGACAAAGTTAAGCATCAGAATGCAGATATAAGCAGGTACAACAACCAGAGCTGAAATAAAAAAATTTTCTTCCATTTTTCCTGCTTTTCCTGCATGATACCCCCCGCCTTCCTTACTAGTACAATGGTTTGTGTGTGTGTGCATGTATATACTGTATATGTGTGTGTGGGGGGGGACATATGTGTGCTTTAATAAGTCCATCATATTTTCCAAACAACTGGAGAAAGGATGAAATGATGCACTGGTGGACTGTGAAAAAAACTAGATCAGCAAAAAAGTAGATACCTCAGCGAAATGTGAAACAGTAGGTTAAAAAAATAGCATCCTGCTGGGTTTTGAACAGGGGATGAGGGCATTCCTGCCTCTGTGAAATAGCCATTCAGAATGCAAGTGTTGGCTTAGAAAAAAACCACATGCAACAGTCAAATCAGAAAGCAAGACATTTGCTGACAGAAGCAGGAAAACATTACTTTAGAAGCGGAGCAGGAAAATGTTGGTGATGAACACAAGGTGATATCGTCCATTCCTGCCCTTCAGAAACATGCTAGCCATGTGGATAGGCCCTATGCCAGGATGCTCTTCTAGTTCCTTTTAACTTAGATGAACTTCCCAACACATCAAAACAAGAAGGTAGCTGCCTATATCCATACCCATATTTATTCTGGTAAAGTTATTAAAGCTCAAACTTAATCATGTCATCACAATATTAGGTGTTCATTCTACCACTCATTTGTCATTAGGATACAAGCCATCATATAACAATAATGCTCCTTTATACCTGCACTGGACAAACTGACCAGTCAGCATGAAAAAGAATTTCCTGGTTCATTGATTATATGACATCAAGTCAATGTCAGCTGTCAGTGACTATGTAGATACATCTTCTCCAGGAAGATCTATCCCCTACTTCCAACAGTGCACTTATCACCACTATAATTGAGTCCATCCATCTTGCTGTTGGTCATCCTCTTCTTTCCTTCTACCTTTCCCAGAATTATAGACTTCTCAAGAGAGCTTTGCATAATGTGTCCAAAATATGATAATTTGAGCCTAGTCATTTGTGCCTCAAGTGAATTCTGGATTGATTGCTTCCATGATCCATTTCTTTTTCTTTTCTTTTATTTCTTTTTTATTTGTTTTATTTACTTAAAACATTTATATAGCCTCCCATCTTGAACCAAACTCTGGGTGGCTTACAATCCAAAAAACAGTTTCCTTGGCTGTCCATGGTATTCTCAGAAGTCTTCTCCAATACTAAAGTTCAAAAGTGTCAGTTCTCTTTCTAAGTATCTATCTTTCCTCAAAATCCAACTTTCTTGCAGGGAAAACAGTTCTCTGCACCATTCTGATCTTTGTAGGTACAGACATGCCATAAGATACAAATAGCTTTTCCAAAGCCTTTATTGCTACCTTACCAAGTGCTGGTCTTCAGCATATGTCTTGATCTTTTACTTTTCATACTTGATCCTAAACTGCAGAAGCTATCTACCTCTTCAGTGTCTTCACTGTCATTTCTAAGGCTGTTTGTTGTACTGTACCTCTTGTCATTCGTTTGATCTTCTTTATGTTTACTTGTGATCCCATTTTGTCACTGTACTCCTTGACTTTCATTACTGTGACTTGCAAATCATTTGCATTTTCAGTTATCAGTGTAGTGTCACCAGCAGAGCATAGATTATTAATATTTCTTCCTCCAAATTTAAAGCCATGCTCATCTTCTTCCAATTTAGCCTCCCTTGATATATATTCAGCATATAGGTTGAATAAACAAGGGAAGAGTATATAGCCTTGCCTTGCTCCTTTGCTGACATGGAGCCAATTTGACATGTTCCCTCCGGACTATGGCTTCCTGTCCGGTATATGGTTTTGCATGAGGATAATGGCATTTTCTGGGATTCCCATTTTCCTAAGGATATTTCACAGCTTGACATGGTAGACACAATCAAAGACCTTTCTATTGAAGCTCATGTAGACTTCTTTACAGTATTCTTTGGCTTTCTCAATTACCCACCATTCATCAGCAATAATGTCTCACGTTCCATGACCTTTTCTAAAACCAGCTTGATCTGGCAGTTAGCCAAATTAATATGGAGACCATTCTGTCTTCATTTCTGAATTAGACTGAGACAAAACATGGAAACAGTTTGAATACTCTAGAATACAATAAATATTCTAAGTATTACTTTTTAAATGACGAAAGTTCTTAGTAGCAATAAGAAAACTAATGTTCACATTCCTATCCATTCATGCTTTATATTGGTATAGTTTAAAAGCATAGATTTATCATTTCAAACCTAATGATCAAATAAATAGAACTGCATCTGTTGAACTTAGCAATCTGCTATAACAGCTTAATACAGTGGTACCTCGGGTCACGAACGCTTCTGTTCACGACCAATTCGGGTCACGAACAGCACCATTCGCAAAATTTTGCTTCCGTTCGCGAACACCGGATCGGGTGA